GAGAATATAGATCTAGGGAGAGCTTTATGTCAAAAGACTGAGCAAAATTATTATTAATCAAAAATATCAAAAGCTTTAAAAATTTCATAATGGATTTTTAATTTTTTTTTTTTTTAAAATTAAGTGTTTTGTTTCTTTAATTAATTAATTAATTAATTAATAATATAATAATAATAATAATAATAATATATATATATATATATATATATATATAGTAATGATACAATATGGTAATCCGTATGGAATTTTCAGAAGAATATAGAGCAAAATTATTATTAATTAAAGAATATCAAACACTTAAAATCCCATAGGTAATAATTTGAGAGCTCCAAAAACAGCAGCTTTTTATTTTCAAGACTTATCACAAATTAAAATGAAATTCTTTAATATTCCTCATATTCCGAGTTTTTTTTAAAACAAGAGATATTGCTATTCTTCTTTTTAATATCAGAATATTTCAAAACAGAGCATGTTGACCTATTTTTATATACTGACCTCAGTATGTCATTTGAGATGAAATGAAAATTATTACCTAATCGATTTTAAATGTTTTATATTCTTTAATTAATAATATATGTTTCATACACTAAATGTAACAATTATTACAGGACAGTGGTAGTACCTACTAAGCGTAGCTTAGAACAGCGCAAGGCCAGATGGAGGGAATGGGGTATGGAATTTGTGTTTCACGAAACTTTCAATCGGGGTAGGAGTGCCTGCTTTAAAAATCAACGTTCCAAAGCGAAATCCTAGTTTTCGCCTAGAGTTAGATACCACTGTTATTGGTGGCAAATGCACAAACATCTGGCGCACTTAGCAGGCTGATACCTGTTATATATATATATATATATTCAGACATATATTGTTAAATATAACAGACAACGAATGTCTATTATGTTTTATTATGAGCCGTTTCAAATCTCGTATAATGGCTTTAGTTTTAAGAGAAAATAAAGACAAAAACTGTCCAACATATGAGAAAACGATATATAATTTTTTTAATATCAGGGACAATTTTACGGGAAAGAAATATTGCAAAGTAGAAAACATTTTGTGTGACACGTTAAAATAAAATAATTAAAATTTTAAATTCTCAGCATCGCCCTTCGTACGCATGCATAGATGCATCAGTGTAAACAAACTTTTCCACTTTATCCATACTATTTCCTCTAATATATATTATTTTGCATTTGTAGGTCTGATGAGTTTGATCGTGATTACGATTCCAATGTAATAAATTACAAAACTCTTTATATTTGTCTGCTTGAATATTTTCAAAATAATTGGGGGAAAAACGAGCGCTAAACGATGACATTTTATTCAGTCGAGCTAGTTCGTATATTCGATTGATGACTGTCTATGAATTTCAAAGAATTTATCAAATATTTTTGCCAGTTGTATCTGCGGTAGACTCGTTGCAAACCAATTATAGAACCCCAGTCTGTCCTACTATACAACTGTCATACCTGACGTACCTATTCTAGTATTAATAGACACTCCCACACATAATAAGTAGTAGTAGTAGTAGTAGCGGTCACCAGCGGAGCTCAGTGGAGTTGAGCGAGTTAGTCGATATCGGACATTTAAGTACCAACCATCACAACTAGATTGCTGCGTCATTTACTCTTATTTCAAGTTCCTAACGTTTTGTACGTCGAACCTAATTTAGGACGACTTATTGAAAACAAGCCTCCACTGTGAAAAAACTTTTTTTTTTAAACAACAACCCATTTCGTGTATTTACGGTACTTAAATAACAGACTAATTTACCAACATTTTATTTTTTCATAAAACCAGACATTTAAAAAAGAATACTGGTAATAAAAAAGGGTAAATATATATATATATATATATATATATATATATATATATATATATATATATATATATATATATTTATATTAATTAAACATAATATATATATATATATATATTAGTAAATTGGTAATACGGAAATATATTCCGGCATTACCAATTTTCAGTAACATTTATTTTGATATTACCAAATTACGGTAATAAATATTTTTTGTTTGCCTTATTTTCTTCAATTGAATATTCTTTTAAAACATGTTTTGTTTTTAATCCATGACGTTATCATTCCAGTGTAAATATATATATCCAGACACCGAAATTTAATTAACAATTAATTATTTAACAACCCTAAAATTATTTTAATACAGTTTTCAATTGAAATTTTCAAAATTTTACCCACTACCCATTTTTCATTTGAGAGCAAGACTGATTTTTTTTTGGCAGTGTTTTGTGACCTTTAATATCTTAGCAACCTTTGCTTTTTTTTCCTACCTAGATTTATATAAGTTACAAATTAAACAAAGGACAACTGACAATTAAAAGATTTTTTTTCTGATTCTGACGTCATTTTGTTTTGTTTTGTTTTTCCTCTAAATCTGCGAATTTGTTTTTCTCATGAAAAAAAAAACACTATATAAAACACTATAATATAAAACACTATTTATAAATGTAAAAGACAATAGGAAAAAAAATTTTATTGATTCGTTTCGTCCAATGTGGACTTTTTCAAGGCAAACAAAATGAAATGAATTTATTAAATAAATATTAAATAATAACAAAATCAAAATGTTCTTAGCATCTGAATAAATTTAGAACGCTATTTTCATACTGTTAATTTTAAATTACGTCAATTATTGTCATGTGTGGAGATATTGTTTTTTATTGCCCTCTTAACTTATGCAACTATTTTTTTTTTTTCCTTTTGCCTTAAAAGTTCACATCGGACGAAACTAAGCACTATTAACTAATTTCCTATAAACATTTATAAAAATTTTCTTTTTTGATTTTTAATTCTGAAAATTTTTTTGTCCAAACATTATTTATTTTTTGTCTCATGTTAAAAAAAAAAACTATATAAAAATTCACTATATTTTTTTTCCATAATGTTGAAGGTGTTAAATTATTCGACGTTTTAACAAGAAAAATCTCAAGTTGATGTTAACTGCTACAAAACATTTAGTTGAGATGGAATGATCTATTATGAAATGTCTCTAATACATTGTATTTATTTTCAATTTTTCTAGTTGAATTATTCCTCTATATTGCATATGATACATTATTGTACATAATTAGGTTACAATAAAATTTGTATTTTATATGAATGCTACTTTATGAAAATTGCAATGTAGTAAAGTAGGAGAATTGTATCATAGAGGTAGGTTGGCACGAGATTCTTGCACAGGTCCTGTTTTTCTTTCGAATGAAGTTAAATTTCATGATCACATAAGTTTTAGAATGAAAAACTAGTAATTTTCTCTGCAAAAATTATTTGCAGTTTATGGCAAGAGCAAAAGAGTTTTAAAAATCACCTATTATTCATTTTGCTTGATATTTAATATCGCCGCCATATTCAAATTATATAAGTTCTAATTTATTTTATTCTGGAAAAATCCGAATAAATTTGAAGTACTACTTACTGGAGCTGAAACGTTGAATTCTGTTTCTCTCGCCAATAAGACCTCCTCAGTGCAAAAATATTATAGTTCACAAATTTGATATCAAGTAGTTTGTTCTTTAGAGAGTTGAACTAGAAAGGTTTCTTCGATAGTCTGACTGCAAATATTCGGTGTAGGACGTTGTTTCGAAAATAAAAATAAAATCCTTCATTGATATTCCACATAGATCTATTTTAATTGTTGACTAGCCTGTTGCAACTATTATCGTATTTTCTGTGTCTAATCAGTCGAAAGAGTTCCCAGCAGGAAAAAGTTGAAAAAAAAAAAAAAAAAAAATAGAAATTGTTATCATGGACACAGCAAAAACAATGAAAAAGGGAAGTAACTCTACTCATATGAAATCCGAGTCCATTTTTCTCGCATTAATACGAAGTTGCAAGGAATTAAAATTACGATTTTTTAGTTTTTATGCCACAAACTTCTGGCCAACATCGCATATAAGTTCAAACTCCATATTAACATTATTCATATATATATATATATATATATATATATATATATATATATATATATATTATATATATATTTATATATTTTTAACATTTTATGTTTATATATTATTTTTTAGATACAAATATTTAAGTAAATTTATGTTTATAATAAATGCTTAAATATTTGTATCTATACAAAGAATGTAAATAAACATAAAATGTCTTAAAATAATTGTTTTGACTTTGTCCATTTAATAAATATATGTATGTATGTTTGTGTGTGTATGTATTGATATAATAGGAAAAAAATTGGTAGATTAATGATCTTAAGTTCTTTAGTGTTTTTTGTTTATTTATATATATATATAGAAAAAGAGAGAGATAAATAGATAGATAGATAGATAGATAGAAAAGATATACACACATATATGTACATATATATATAATATATATATATATATATATATATATATATAATCTAGAGAGAGAGAGTTGACATAGGAATCGGTAAAGCGTGGTGACTGATCCTTCAATGCAATATTTTCAGGCCAAATTACCATATATATATATATATATATATATATATATATATATATATATAATTTCAATGGCGTAAAACGAAAGCTTGTTTTATTAGATTTACGATTGAGTAGTATATTCGATTGTCAAAGATGCTCCATAATTGCGATTTTTGCAAATTTATATATATACAGTCATGGTGGTTAACTCTTTTCTATTTCTTTTAATTCAATTTTACTTTCATCATTTTTATTAAAGGAAAATTTTGACTTTGATGATTTTTATTTTATTTTTTTATTACCACCGTCTTTTGACCGATTCATTCTTCAGCTTATCCGTTGTGTTAAACCTGTATAGACATTATATTTTGCTTTACTTTTTTTTTTATTCGTGTAGTGCACAACAAAAACTTTAACAAAGCGCTCCACGCCCAAAAAATGAAGACCTCCCAATCTCCTATACAGAGTGGACGTGTAAGAAAGAACTTGGATTTTTTTTTACGACTTATCAACCCTTTGTGACTTATTTATAGCCAGAATATATTTCGGATTGTAAGAGGTTGCTTACAGCACCCGAGGTTGCCAAGGGGCCCCTCAACTAAGTACTGACCCGGCTCGACAGTGCTTAACTTCGGTGACCAAACTAGAATAAGTGTTTTCAGTGTGATTTGACCGTAAGCAAAACAGACCTTACAACTGTTTCCAGTGGGCAAACGGATGAATCGCAGTTAGGTTTTAAAATCGTTTCTCCAAGCTTTGTCGGGTGGAAGCTGAAATTTGTCACACCCACCATTCTAGCACCTTAACCCCTGATTCGAAATCGGAAATGCTTACCATGTTAGATTTTAAGAGGCAAGTGCAGATTATGGTGAGTAGGAAATATATACGATCGATTGTCAAAGATATCAAAAAAAAATGTTCGGTTCATTCTATCAATCCAGAAAACACCTGAATTCTTTTGCTATGCTTTATATTGATAAGAGCCATATTAGACCAAAAAATGGAGTACTGCTACCATATCTGGGCTGGTCCTGTTTCGGCTCATTCTATCACTCCAGAAAGTACATGACTCCTGTTATACATTATCTTGACAAAAGTCACATTAGGCCCCAAATGAAGTATTCCTATGCAATCCTTACTTTCTAGCATTGACCGTGTTCAAAATAGCTTAAACGATCTTTATTTTCCACTATACAGCCTCTTCCCCCACAGACGAAAAGTTCCAAGCCTATAGCTACTGTTTAGCTACTTTCATACCAAATATTCCGATGGACTCCACTCTTTAGTTCCAGCGGGTCATACCTTTGCAGCTAGGTCTTTCCATGCTACGTCCACGGCGTCGAATCAGTCTCATTTCCTCCATCTTCTAATTATTAGGAGAAAGTTCCTCTCAGACACCTGGAACTGCTATTTTATGGAACCAGCTCCTGTGTAGATGCTTCTCTGAACACTACAATCTTAACATCTTTGTCAAGGGCCAACAGATATCTATCTTCCTCATCTTCATAATCTTCACTTTCCCTCTACCTTCTTTTGGGTTCATATCACATCTCACTCAGTAATCCTCTATCTTGGGTGGCTCTTGAACCTTTTATTGGGTGAACTTTAGTATAAAACATAATTGCTGATATATTCCTATTTCCCGGGGACTTAGGACGTGGACCTAGTGTACAGATGTGGAGAGTAAGGAGTACGAAGTGGAATGGAGAGCAACGATGGTGAATGAACGTTCGGGTAAAACTACTCCCCAGACAGCGATAGCAAACGATAGATCTATTTCTTTTCTCCGTTAATAAAGTGGAGCATTTCAAAATCTAACAAAATGTTTTGTCTTAATAGTTAACAAGTGGAGAGTCAAATAGCTTTTTTTGAATCGCTTTGTCAAATAACTACCACGATTGGGTACCTCGGCATGGTGTCATGGTTAGCAAGCTTGTCTCACGAGATCAGTTACGACTGAAAGGTTAGTTCGATCCTCACTGGGTGCCCCATACTTTCGGCGTTGTGCTGCATCTAAGCTACGCTTAGAAAATCATAGTAAGCTGTTCTCTTGAGTAGTTTGGACACACTGATACTTACTGGGCGTAGGGATCCGTCCCTGCGCTGGTAGTATCACGGCTATGACTAGTTTGGAACGGCTCTGACCAGATAAGACCAGTTAAGACTAGTTTATACCAGCTCTGACCATCTTGGACTAGCTAAGACCAGCGGCCCGAGTGAAGACAGTTTCACCCCACGTTAAAAACCGACTTTGTGTCACAACTTGACTTAAATTCAAGTAAATAAATCTACCACGATTTTCGGCTTTAGTCATATTTGCGTGAATTACAAGTATATGGCCGTAAACTCGTATAAATAGAAATGCGACTGGACTTAAAATGGAGGATTGATTTTCTGTTGTTATTAAGTTGTAAACCGATCTCCCCAAAATTAATACATATTGATATAATAATTGGAAAAAAAATTAATCCACTGTTACTACTAAAAATTGTTTTCTTAACATTCGAGAAAATGTTTTATTTAATATTAGACAAATAGCAGTTCAAATTTTCATGTTTATTCAAATAGTATTCTGAATATATCATTTTTGTTAAAGAGAATGTTTTTTTTTTTTCTTTTATAGTCATAATCATGGAGGCGCGGTGGAGTAATAGATAGCGACTTGGATTGAGGAATCGGAGAACCGTGTTCGAATTCCAGTCCATTACACTCACTTACGTGCCCTTATGAATCTTCTTCTACCTATGGGTAAATAGCAGGACGGACCGGGTTCTATAGCTTTGGATGTCAATTAGTCTACCTCAGAAAGAAATGGCAACCTACTGCAGGGAAAAATTCTGCCTCGTCAGAAAGATACATGATGGCCAAAGTGTGTATCACGCATGGCACATAACTGACTAAGTTTAGCTTAGTATTGGGATAAACTGGAATTTATTTAAAATAATGTGCCTTAAAAATCAGTTTTTTTTTTTTAACCTGGGCTTGAACATGGATCACTGGCAGGATTTATACAACTATCTCAACCTTTTTTATAACTCTCAAGTTTTACTCTTAATTTTTTTTTTTTATGGACACCCATAATCATTCGATAAAAAAACAAAGCTTATTTTAGTTTTTAATAATATATAAGTTTAGAAATTGTATTATAGAAATAGTAATGTTTTATTTTGAAGTAAAACTAATTTACTGAAAATAAACTTGCATTTAACAACTGAATTCTATAGAACATTTATGTGTGCTAGTACATATACAGATTGGATGATTTTGCCGAAAATTGACCCTGCTGCTGCAGAGGATAATATTGTTAATCCTTCCTTTATATATAATCTTTATATAATTTAAATATTTATATTGGATGACAACTGGTCTACCGCAGAAAGAAATGGCAACCTACTGCGGGAAAAAAATCTGCCTCGTCAGTCATGTATCGAAAGATACATGATCGCGTAAGCGTGTATCATGCATGGTATATAACTGACTGAATCATATTTTATTTATTTAGACGTGCAAAAGTGTCCATAATGCTAATAGAATGATTTTTTTTAATTTTCTCAGATTTTGAAATACGCTTTTTAAATTAGTTTAATCTTTAATCCTTCAGAACGTTGATTTTAATGGCTTTCCACATTTTCTTATCCTTTGTAGTTCTTAGTAAAGTTTTTCTTTTTGCTATCTCTTCTAAGCCTTGTTCTGTCTAAGCCTTGTTCTGACAAGGCCCTTAATTGACGAGTTCTTACAACTTATGAAATGATTAAAGCTACTTTCCCCATTCATTTGTAAATCGAAACCGGCAAACATTTATAAAAAATTTACGAAACTTCTGAATCATCGGAGGGAAGTTATTGTGAATAATAATAATAATAAATTCTAATAAACAATGAATATTTGAATTGTTTCTCTCTCTATTCGGACATTATTTATGGGATATTTCTTTTAAGACTCCGTTAGCACCGTGATGTGTATGTATGCACCATAAAATGTATTTCTTAATATTTAACAAGTGGCAATTCAAATTTTCATGATTAGTTAAATAGCGTTCTGAATCCTTCTGTAATGTAACAACAAGGTGTTTCTGGTTTAATCATAATGTTTGTGGGAATTACAAGCACATGGCTGTAAACTTGTATTAATAGAAGATGAGACTGGACTTAAAAAATGGCGGATCGATTTTCTGTTGTTATTAAATAATAAACTGATTCCGAGAATGAATATATATATATATATATATATATTGTCGTGTTTATTCTAAGAATAAGTACGTGATAATTAGCCTTCCTCTCAACCGGGTTTCGATCCCAGCTTGAGGCAATCGGATGTCCAATCACACTGATGAGCTGGGATACAGCGAAACAGTCTGTCTGTGGATGACATTATATATATATATATATATATATATATATGTGTGTGTGTGTGTGTGTGTGTGTGTCTGAATATAAATATATAGTGTAATATATTATATATATTATTCTTTTATATATTATATGCTTAATTAATCGTATATATAAGTACCGCGCATATATATATATATTATATATATAAAAGTGAACATAAAAGTCAACATTGTGGTAGGCGACAGTCTGTTTCATGCTATATGGCCTGACGATTGCATATAGCATGAAACAGACTGTCTAAGTGCTAGATAAAATGTTCACTTTTATATATTTACACTCTATATCTCTGATATTGAGCAAATTATTCCATAAATATAGCATACCTTAAGACAATATTTCTTTATATATATATATATATATATATATATATATATATATATATATATATATATATATATATATAAATAAACTAATATTTAACATTGTTTATACACCCCAAAAATGATTTTCCTAATGCTTCAAAGTGACAAGTCAAATTTTCATTATTAGTCATGGTAGCTTTTTGAAAATCTACTGTCAAGTAACTAAAAGGAGTTTCTGGTTTTAGTCATAATATTTGTGCTGATTACAAGTAATTTTATTCGTTTACTGGAAATAAAAGGAAGCCTAATTTTTTTTTTATCTGGACTTTTGTAACTGACAAATTCATTTTTCATATTGTCTTTAATTCAATGTTTCAAAATAAAACCTTTTTTCTTCATCATTATTCATCGTATAAAAACTAAAAAGAAAGTTAGTTTTGTAAATAGCTAATGGTTTTACGTCAATATAACTTCTTTATTTTGCCCATATGACTTCATACGATAAAAGAAGAAGCATTTCTAATATTAGCTTTTAATTTCAACATGAAACGAGCTGTTTTTTTATTCCTATTTACCGTATAAAAACCATAAAGGACACTTAAGAAAATATACAAGACAATTAACAAAATAATTAAGAATTAAATTATATATCTATAATATTTTACATGGGATTAAAAAAAAACCACAGTAATAATGCTGTGACAACGCCCTACAGTATTGACGGAGAGTTAAAATAACTATAAATTCAGTGTTTTTTCCCCCCCCAGGCTAAAAAAAAAAGTTTCTGGTTTTATCATAAAATTTGGAGGAATTACAAGCAGTTGTATTTGTTTAGCAATGCGAAAGTATCCCTTAGTACTAAAAAAGAGTGATTTTGTTCCTATATATATATATATATATATATATATATATATATATATATATATATATATATATATATATATTAGATTGAGATGTGCTTTTAAATTGGTTTAATGATAAGCAAGAATATAGTTTAAAGTAGTTAGTTCTACAAATGTCACTACCATATTATATTAAAATACCGAAGTAAACCCCTTTCGCCGCCAATTATTTTGGGGGAAAAATATTTCATTTTTAGACGATTTTTCCTATTTGTTTTTAATATAGTAACTAAAATAGGAGGCACGGTGGAGCAATGGATAACGACTCGGATTGAGGAATCGGTGTTCGAATTCCAGTCATAGTAAGCTGTTCTCTTGAGTAGTTCGTACACACTGATACTTACCGGGCGTAGGGATCCGTCCCTGCGCTGGTAGTATCACGGCTATGACTAGTTTGGACCGGCTCAGACCAGTTAAGACTAGCTTATACCAGCTCTGACCATCTTGGACTAGATATGGCCAGCTAAGACCAGCGGCCCGAGTGAAGACAGTCAAGACCCCACGTTAAAAACCGACTTTGTGTCACAACTTGACTCAGTGGCAAGTAAATACAATCTACCACGATTTTCGGCTTTTAGTCATATTTGCGTGAATTACAAGTACATGGCCGTAAACTCGTATAAATAGAAGATGCGACTGGACTTAAAATGGAGGATTGATTTTCTGTTGTTATTAAGTAGTAAACCGATCTCCCAAAATTAATACATATTGATATAATAATTGGAAAAAAAATTAATCCACTGTTACTACTATGGTGTGTTCGAACATTCGAGAAAATGTTTTGGCTTAATATTAGACAAATAGCAGTTCAAATTTTCATGATTATTCAAATAGTATTCTGAATATATCAGCCAAATAACTACAAATTATAGTCATAATCATGGAGGCGCGGTGGAGTAATAGATAGCGACTTGGATTGAGAAATCGGAGAGCCGTGTTCGAATTCCAGTCAAGTCCATTACACTCACTTACGTGCCCTTATGAATCTTCATCTACCTATGGGTAAATAACAGGACGTACCGGGTTCTATAGCTTTGGATGTCAGCTAGTCTACCTCAGAAAGAAATGACAACGTGCTAATACCCTTGGGAAAGGTATGAACTCTCGCCTTCTCCACCCAGCTATGGAGACCGGGTTCTGTATAACTGGTCTACCGCAGAAAGAAATGGCAGCCTACTCGTCAGTCATGTATTGAGAGATACATGATCGCCTAAGCGATATATATATATATATAATATGTGCGGTACTTATTATATATATATATATATATATATATATATATATATATGTATATAAAGAAATATAGTCTTAAGGTATGCTATATTTATGGAATAAAGTGCTCAATATCAGAGATATCTACGGTCTCTATCTAAGGTCAGTACTTAGATGGGGGACCGCTTGGGAACACCTGGTACTGTAAGCCCCCAAAGTCCAATCCTTACCTCACAGTCGGTGGGGGGGGTAAACGGTAGTGTCAGAGCTATGCCGCCCGGAACTTCGTTCCTGGTAGGGCCACCCAAGGCGGACAGGTCTGACACACACGCCGGCTAACAAGGGCTCTGGTGAAAATCCAAGGAGCGTCTGCATCGGTAACCGGCGGCTTCTGGTCGTTCCTGTCTCTGCGTCTGTGGGAACCCCGCGGCAAGCAAGAACGTTATCCGAGTAGGCCTGGGTACCCTACTTCTGTAATTTATCCCAAGAATCTTCTTCTCATAACAGGAAGAAGCCGGCTCAATCCGCCCAGGGTGAATGCCGCATCAGTACAGTACAGTACAGATCGCCTAAGCGTGTATCACGCAAGGGCAAGGCACATAACTAACTTAACTGAGGTACCTTGAGGTACTTATAACGTAAGAGTTGCAAATAGTACTCGTTTCAAGCTCAGAAGATCATAAAAAGAATGGAAATCGACATATGAACACATTTATAGCTGGGTTTTGAGCGTATTTATTCGTACCTGTCCATTTTACTTTTTTCCGGTAAAAACGTATATACACGTCTACGCTGGTGCAGTGGTTAATCTCAGGCTATTTTTTATCTATTTATCTATCTATATATCGCAGGGTATTCTTTATCTATCTATCTATCTCAGGGTATTCTTTGTCGATCTATCAAGCTCAGGCTATTCTTTATCTACCTATCTCTCTATCTATCGTAGGGTATTCTTTATCTATCTATCTATCTCAGGTTATTCTTTATCTATCTATCTATCTATCTATCTATCTATCTATCTATCTCAGGTTATTCTTTATCTATCTATCTATCTATCTATCTATCTATCTATCTATCTTCTATCTATTTATTCAGGTTATTCTTATCTATCTATCTATCTATCTATCTAGGTCTTCTTATCTCTATCTATTCTTTCTATCTATCTCAGGTTATTCTCTTTCCCATCTATCTATCTATCTATCTCAGGTTATTCTTTATCTATCTATCTATCTATCTATCTCAGGTTATTCTTTATCTATCTATCTATCTATCTATCTATCTCAGGTTATTCTTTATCTATCTATCTATCTATCTATCTATCTATCTCAGGTTATTCTTTATCTATCTATCTATCTATCTATCTATCTCAGGTTATTCTTTATCTATCTATCTATCTATCTATCTCAGGTTATCTATCTATCTATCTTATTATTCAATATCTATCTATCTCAGGTTTCTTTATCTATCTATCAGGTTATTGTTTATCTCTATCTATCTCAAGGTTATTCTTTATTCTATCTATCTCAGGTTATTCTTTATCTATCTATCTCAGGTTATTCTATCTATCTATCTATCTATCTTAAGGTTATTCTTTTATCTATCTATCATCTATCTATCTCAGGTTATTCTTCTCTATTCATTTAATCTATCTATCTCAGGTTATTCTTTATCTCTTCTATCTATCTTATCTTTATCTATCTATCTATCTATCTATCTCAGGTTATTCTTTATCTCTATCTATCTATCTATCTATCTCAGGTTATTCTCTATCTATCTATCAATCTATCTCTCAGGTTATTTTTATCTATCTATCTATCTATCTATCTCAGGTTATTCATTTATCATCCATCTATCTATCTATCTATCTCAGGTTATTCTTTTATCTATCTATCTATCTATCTATCTCAGGTTATTCTTTATTTATCTATCTATCTATCTATCTCATCTGAATATTATCTATCTATCTATCTATCTATCTATCTCAAAAATTTATTCTTTATCTATCTATCTCACATCTTCTATTTTTCTTTATCTATCTATCTATCTATCTATCTATCTTATTCTTTCTTCATCTATCTATCTATCTCTATCTCAGGTTATTCTTTATCTATCTATCTATCTATCTATCTATCCTTTTATTCTTTATCTATCTTCTATCTATCTATCTCTCATTATTCTATCTATCTATCTATCTATCATTCTATCTCAGGTTCTATCTATCTATCTATCTATCTATCTATCTATCTCAGGTTATTCTTTATCTATCTATCTATTCATCTATCTATCTATCTCATTTATCTATCTATTATTTCTATCTATCTATCTCTATTATCTATCTGATCTATTCATTTATCTATTTATCTATCTATTATCTATCTATCTCAAAATTCTTTAA